ATGTTAGTAGAGCAGGGGTGCAACAATGGTGAGTAATGTGGCTGTAACCAGCGGTGAGGAAGAGCATCGACTCAGAAAGTGGAGCCTTTATAAAACTCCTTTATATGTGAAAAAAGATTTAAAATTATAAATGACTTAATTGTACCCCATGGAGTCCATCCCTTATCCATGTCAACTTCATTTTTTCTCAACGATAGACATTAGATAAGATACCAAACTATGTTAGAATCCCTAAAATTGTGTGAGCGTCGAGAGTGAGTTTACATGTTCCATTTAAACTACCATTCTACAATTCTAGAGTTTTGTTGAGTTCTTGGAGTGGTTCGTATTGCAGAATAAAGGCTTCGGGTGAAGTTGTTAGTGCAAAGATTAAGGCGTGACGCTTGGCAAAGTTGCTAAATGTTTCTTCTAGGCAAAAGTTGTAAGAGTGAAACTGAAGACTATGGACAAGGTCAAAAGAAACCATGAATTAGCTAATGTTGACGATATATATACTTGTAACCGTAATGCTGAAAGTTTGTATTATTGACCATCAATACAATCTCTCTCTAGTTTGCCTATAGATATAGCTTGATTACTCTGATCAAGTGAACAAAGTTAAATCTGTGTGCTATTATTGTCCTTCTAGAAGTGAAACTAAGCACCAAAGCGCAATTTTGGTCATCGGTGCACACCTTGCTTTGACCTTTAGTGATCAAAAGAAGGTTTGAACTCTAAACTTCGAAGCCCATGTTATGTTGGCGATGTCATAGAGCCATGAGCAAAAGAACAGAGCCATGAGCAACGATACAGGAGAAATTAGGTCAAATGTTTAATGTAAATAGATGTGCTTGTATGATTGTAACCCTAATGTTGAAAGTGTGTATTATTATTTATCAATACAATCACTCTCTAATTTGCCTGTGGACGTAGCTTGATTACTCTGATAAAGTGAACCAAGTTAAATCCTTATGCTCTTATTGTCGATTTAGCACCTTCTTAATTATCATGTTTGGGTTTGTCGAAGTCCTTAATCATAACAAGTTTGTGAATAATGTTATAGGATATCAAGTGTTGGTGACCATTTCCTTGCATATCCAATAATCTACGATGAATTTATATTGTGATAGATGATCTTTTTCTATGATGTATAGACCATTTCCTTGCATATCCAATAATCTTAGTTCGTTATTATAGTATTATAATGGTTCTCTGGTATCGAATAATTGTTAATGTCTTTTACAGTTCAGGTTAGCATTCTTTTCACCTGAATCAAGAGTTCTAGGTGCTCCAGAATTGGTTGATCATCCTAGAAAAACTGTGTTACATTATCTTTCTGGGTATTTTTCCTTAACCTATTTATTGTACTACCAAATTCCTCAGGTAAGATTCTCTTTCAAGCATATATATCGTCACTTACCATCATCATTTGTGCATTCCTCAAGAAGTTAATTAATTGTCCATGTAGATAATCGTATTATTTATCCTACCAAATACCATTGCATCATTGGGAGCAAATTATGCAAAGGATCTTTTGCGAGCAGCTGTTCTTGTTCAGTACATTCCCAGGTTATTACGAATTTCCAAGCTTATTGATGGCATGGGTGCAAGTGGTTACATTCCTCGGTCGGGATACTCGCTGGTTATATCCAATCTTCAGATTTTTGTCTCGGCTGGTCATTTTGTAGGGTCATGTTGGTATCTGTTAGGTTTACAGGTGAGTGGGAGCAGGAGTTTTTCATGTTTTATTCATGATTTCATTGCAAAATAAATCTAAAGAAAAAAAAAACTCCTATATCTTAATCACACTATCATTTTTATGACACTGATTTTTATTTTTAATTTTTTTTATTTAGTCACTCTATCATTTACATTTTTATTTTTAATTTTTTTTTTATTTAGTCACTCCATCATTTACTGTAAGACAAAAAAAGGTTAATCATTGATTGCTAAAGTCGAATTATGAAATCAAGACTTAAATACTATTGAAAAAATATATTTGTTGTTTTGATTTCATCCATGTTATTATTCCGCTAGTTCATAAAAGTTTGAAGGCTATTCTAACTGTTTTTCCTTTAATTCTTTCAAGAGGGTGAATCAATGCCTTCACGCTGCTTGCCATAATTCTACAATCATGCATTGTATGAAGTTTATAGATTGTGGGAAAGGGAAGGAGTCTTGGGCCTTTGATGGTAATCAAATATGGAACGAATGGAAACAAAAAAAAAATTCAAGTGCATGTTTTAGCGAAGATGGTTTCCCATATGGAATTTATGTGAAGGCTGTCAATCTTACTGTAGACAATAGTATAATCACAAGATGTGCGTACTCTATGTTTTGGGGGTTACAGGTATTTTATCTTGAATTGACTCTCTCTTCCTTTTTTTCTTTTATCTGATCCTTTTTCTTCGTCTCAACACTTTCTTACATTTTTCTAATTAAAGATGGGATTTAAGCTATTTCACATGCGCATTCCTTGTTATTTGATGTATAGCTTGTCAATAATCCATGTTATGTTTTTAACGGTTTTCTTTTTGGGGTTTTTGGCACTCTATATATTCTCTTTTTGTGACAAAGTATTGTTTTCATCCTCTTTAACATGGTATGAGGGCTTACGAATTCAAAATATTAAAAAAACAATCCTTGATTCCATTGGTAAAGCAACAACTTACTATTGGTAATATGTGATTTTGAATTAGAATTAGGCAAGTTACCTATTATTATAAGATATGCATCTAATAAGATTTCGTAGTTATTAGAGTAAGTATTAGATGAGTAGTCTATTAGTTTTCTTCTCTATAAATAACCTTATAGTTTAGTATCAACTCATTAGATAATGTTAAGTATGGAGAGGAAGATATGGTTTTAATTGTGTTACATTTTCTGCCAAGCTCCTATTCCAATTTCAAAGATATCATCTTATATAGGTGGGATACCCTCATTCTATATGTTATTTTTGTGGCCCTGGATTCAAAGAGCAGGCAAAGTAAATGTTGGCTACTAGTGGCTTCAGTAGTTTACAGGCCGATTGCTTGTGTGTTCATAGCGATCAATGAGAACGACTCAAATAATGGATCTCGAGCTAAAAAGGCCAATCAAAATCAAGAGGCAAGTTCAAATCATGCAAATATTGCAAAAAGAAAGAGCATGACATAATGTGTACATGTTGTAGAACAAGGAAAAAGGAATATCTCAAACAAATTGAAAGATAACAAAGCAGATGATTCTACGAAGTGTGTATTCGATAGTAGTTCAGAATATGAGAGATTCATGTTGTAGGATATTCTTAGATGAATGACGTGTGGGTTCTTGATTCCACTTGCACCTATCATATGCATAGTTATCGACTTAGTTCATGACTCGAAAGAGTAAAATGTTTACTCTGTGACTCGATTCATACGAGCAATGATTATATATATACATGGAGTATCACACACATGAAAGACATAATATTGGTTCAATATTAATGCACGTTCACCAAAATGTTACAACTTTGCTAGTTATGAGTTTGACTCACTGTTTGCCACCATATACATGTGGCTTGTGCAAAAATTATACAAAAGAATATATCGTATCCACAAAATAACACAACTTGCGAGCTATTAATAAAGCAAATGGAAAAACCCTTACTATCTTCATCTCCATCTTCATCATCCTCAACTTCAACTCATCTTTTGTATCACTCACAATAATTGTTGTTCTTGTCATTTATAACCGACACCTTTTTTACGTTCCTTGGTGCTAAAACAGTTAATAGTATCTTTATGTTTGACTACTGTATAAACTAAGGTAATACAATATATATTCTTTGTATATCAAAATATATACCTCTCTTTCGTTTTTTGTTACTAGTCCCCTCATCCACTTTAAAGCATTAGTGAACATCCATCCATGAGATATCTTTCGGGAGACATGCATCCTTGTAAGTTTCTCCTGGTTCTTGTCTCTTTTGATGCCTTGTATTAGGGTTAATGTGTATTTCACAAATACTAAAACATTTAACCTTTGTTTCTCCAAAAAGAGGAGTACATAATGAAATGTGCTCCAATTCCTCTCACATCCTGTGACACTACATGTGAGATTGAACATACAAATGGCTAGATGCTGAAGTTTTGGACACTCATCTCCATAGTTTCTCCACGACCTTGTTGGTTGGATCTTCTTTCTTATTGAAATGGTTGCGGCTAATTAAACCAAACATTCTAATTCTATCAATGAACTTATCAAGTTGTTCTTGAATTTTTATGTTTTTTGGTCTGTCATACATCTTCTCAATAACGTAGTACAATCCAAGTTTGACTTCATAATCAGCCCGAAAGTTCTCGTTGAAGTGAAGGCTATTTTTAAAAATTAAGGTAAGATATTAGTTTACTATATATAAAGTAAATTAATAAGTAATTTCAATCTCATGAACAAAAGTCAGCCTTGGATGAAGATGGTATCCCACATGAAGGGACCTATGGAGTTGCATTTGCCACCTACGATCAATCTTTTTCACAAATGGGTCGATATCTTGTCTCAACCCTAATAAAATTTTCCACATGGTCTTTTTCCCCGTTCTTAGGATATGAGGGCGTATTAGACTATATATTACACAAATTTAATTATCTTAGTCTAGAGGGAAATAGATATAATATTCATCTCAGTATTACATACATATATACCTCTTGTAATCCATTATTTACAATCAAATGCGAATGCATGACCTTACATAGAATATTAGTTACCATGGTTTTACTATATTCTGAAAGAATAAGCTTACTTATTTTTCATCCAAAAGTTCAAGACAATACTTTGGGACTTAAGGTTTTTTATCCACCTCCCATTAATCTATATTTCTTACTCATGTCAAAGGTAATAAGAGAGTTCCTTCTAATCCTTTTCATTTGCTGATGATTGTGACACAGCAAATCAGTACATTGGCTGGCAATCAAACTCCAAGTTATTTTTTCTGGGAAATCCTTTTTACCATGTTTATTATTGGCGTTGGACTTCTACTATTTTCCTTTCTGATCGGAAGCATGCAGAACTTTCTTCAAGGTCTCGATCGCAGGTACACCAATTAGTAGGAAATTTATGCTGCTTATAACCCTCACTGATTTATGATATTAGTAGCTCTTCAATATGAATGATCCATGGACATTTAATATTATCGTAGAGAAATGGAAACATTAGTTAGGCGACGTGATGTTGAAGAGTGGATGAGACACAAGAATTTACCAGAAAACCTACGAAGGTATAAATCACATATCTCATTATTTTCATCATTCACAGTAATTAATCATTAATGTGCAATTTCCTTTCTCAGTAAAAGTTCAAATTTAGCATGAAGCTTTAGGCTGTACTTATTACTCCGGACTGGACTCCAGAAGCTTTCTAGGGCTATTCTAAACTTGTTCCACGTTTTGGGTGTTTTAGTTATGTCCTTTCCTGCCATATGATTCTTTCTTTTCCATTGTGATTTGCATCAGGTAGTTTTGATGTCTACTTGGTCAAAACTTGACTATTTAAGGTGTTGATATGCAGAAAAGTTCGAGAGTCGGAGTATTTTAATGGGGCTGCTACCCAAGGGATTGATGGAGAAATGCTAATGCAGAATTTACCTGTAGACTTGCAAAGAGATGTTCGCCATCACCTCTTTAAGTTTTTCAAGAAAGTAAGATCAAACCATTTATATGTTCCTGTTAGGTGAAGGTTACATGAGCACATACCATTAAAGCTGCATCTCAACCTTTTAATCTGTAGGTCCGGATTTTTGCGTATATGGATGAACCACTTTTAGATGCAATATATGAAAGGTTAAGGAAAAAGACATACATTAAAGGAGGCAAAGTTTTATATATAGGTGGGGTTGTGACGAAAATGGTTTTTATTGCAAGAGGGAAGCTGGAGAGCATAGTAGAAAATGGGAATAAAGTTCCATTGTCAGAAGGCGATGTATGCGGTGAAGAACTTCTCATATCGTACTTCGAACATTTCTTTGGTAATGGTATAAACTAGTCTGGATGGGGAGATAACGATAAACAGGATTGCACTTTTACTTAATTTCTAATTGGTCATTGGAATATAATAAACTTAGTTAGTAAAACCATTGTATCACCCAAAATTGACTTTTTAGGTAACTTCAACCAAAAACTGTAAAATGCGGACATGGGTGAATGGATTTTTTAACAGTTGTCAGAAATTGGACCATGTTTTGGAAACATTTTTTAAAGTCTGGTTACCAAATTAGAAATTTAGTGAAAATGTATTGCTAACTATTGTGATTTCCCATGTTGGGTTAAATACCAATTTGTCCATTCACTACACATGCATATAAAGTGTTACAACCCTTGCACTAAATATTTTCTCTAAATATTTCTTGCCCTGCTTTCTTTTAAAGATTTTGATGTGTTTTTTTCCACTGTAAATTGTTACCAAGGAAAAAGATTGATTAGCAACAGAACGGTGAAATGCTTATCGAATGTGGAGGCATATGTTATTTTGCCTGCAGAACTTGATGAAGTAACCAACCTTTTTTGTGAATACTTCAGGAATCCTCGTGTTCAGCATGCCATAAGGTAATACATCTTCTACACAATATTTGATGCACTGTTTGTTAGTTGATATAAGTGAAATTCCAGACGAGATCGGAAACTGCAAAAGCCTCTTGTTTTCTCTTTGAACCCCGTCAAACCCACACACCCTTCTCCATTTGTCATCCATCTAACCTGCAACTCGAATGGGGGAAAGAGGAAGACTGCAATCGATTTTGTGAGAAGAAGAAGAAGGAACTGACGACCTCACAGAGAAACCCCAAACGAGATCGGAAACTGCAAAAACCTCGGTTAGCTCCCGTCGGATCTTGGCGACTGTTTATAGCTCCCGACAGAACAACTTCGTCGAATCAATCTCTATAGAAATCGGAAGAAAGCAACATCCGTCGGAGATGTAGCCGAAGCTTGTGTACGCCAGAGGTGTTCTTGGAAACAACGCCGGAAAATCGAGTTTGACCGGAGAAGATGACCGAAAAACTCCTTTTTGGTCGGAAACAATGCCGAAAACCGGAAAAACCCACTATATCGGACTGGTATAATGTACACGTTTAAACAAGTTCAATGGTTAATGAAGCACGAAAAATAATTTAGTGACCAAATGTCACCAACAGCTAAAGTACGTTACCCTCTCAAGTCATTATCCTTTTTACTTTTGAGTATGAGATGAGATATTTTAATGTTGAAATTTGTAGAAGGAAATTGAATGAAGTCGCGTACTTAAACTACTGTTTGATTAATACTGTCAATGTTCCAATAAACCTGAAATAATTAATTGCTACTTGTCAAATTATTGTTATACCTTTTATTATAAGCATGTGATCATCACTCAGTTGTTTCAGTTTATGCTTAAAAAATGAAAATGTATCTGAATGTTTTGGATCAAAACCGAATATTCTAGGACACGCATGCTGGGACAGGTTCTAGTAGTTTCACTTCCAAATGGGAAACACCAGCATTGTTGACATTTACTTTATAATAATTGTCCAATTGTTTAGTAGACATAAGCTATATGCCAGATTATGGTTTCTGTTCCTGTTACCAATTAAAATAAATTCAGTTTTTATAATTACATGATCTACATGTTTTGCTACCTTCAGGAACCAATCCCCATACTGGCGAAGCAGGGCAGCATACACTATCCAGGTGGCATGGAGATGGTATAAGAAGCGCCAACGTTGTGCAAAAACCTAACGTGGTCGTACCACGTGCTCTCATTTTCTGCAAGCACTGTAATGCTCTTGATGGTTTTCTTGGTTTAAGAACTTGTAATATGAGACATACATTCCACAGGAAATGGCTGGAATTTGGTGATATTGGTTCCAAAATGCCTCTAAGGTGTGTGTTGACATTCCCTCATTGTGTTTGTGGATTATGAAGTCATTATTATGAGATGTATATAATCAGTTCTGCGTGCCTAGACACTTATGTCGTTGGCGTCTCAAAGCCTTTCGAGTCATGTTTGCATCGTTTTCTTTTAGCATGAGGTTTGTACAAATTGAGTATTAAGGTGATGTTTGTTTTTAAAGAGATAAAAGGTCTCCTATCTGCAGACCAAATCTGCCTAAATGTTAAATGGCATTATCCTGAAAAGTTAAACTAATTAAACATTTAAAAAATAATAATATGACTTTAAATTATAAAACAAATAGGATAAATATCTAATACATTAAAACATTTAACTGATATCATATGTTAGTCCCGTTTTATAAATCGTCTATTTTGAAAATGATTTTAAAAATCCAATCCTTATTCTAAAAAAAATAGGTTTATTCTTCGTTTGTCATGTATCACCCTATTAGGCTTTCTAATTAATGTCATGCCATGGTCAACCTATTGATTCTCCATATTAAGGTTCAAATTTTAAATTTCCCACTCTAATTACATTAAACTAATAAAATTAGAATAAAAAATAAAATAAATTAATACATATTATAAGGTCACGTATTTATTTAAATCAACGATTATAGTTTTATAACTAAAAAATATATCTTTATTAATAATTTATTTAAAATAACTTATGAATAATTTTGAGTTTTTAGTATGAATGTTTAATTAATTTTGTAATCGTAGTTCCCACAGGTTATAAACTACTATTTAATATGGATATGCAATAAGAAAAAATACATAACAAACCCCATTATAACGTAAAAGAAAATTGTTGTGAATCGTAATAAGATATAAATTATGAGTAATGATTAATGAGTTAAAAAAATACCATAGTTTACTATTCAATGTAAAGCAAAAAAAATTGTTTATTTTAAAAATGTGTGAGAAGTTGTTATTCAATGTTTGCTTAAAGAAGAGGGCATACAAATCTTTTTAGGTTTGCAGTCTTCTAAAAATAAACGTGATATGAGTTAAAGCGTTTGCACAATGAGTGTGCAGTGAAAACAAAAGTGGTGATCCCTCGCTAATTTACGACGTAATTAGGTTTCGGCAAGGGTAATAATCCCTCGCTAGTGTACAAAGGATTTACGAGGGATTAGCGAGGCAACGATATTTCCAAACTTTTAATTATTTCTCAAGAAATTTGCGACAGCTTCGAAAGGAATTACTAACATAACCATCGATGGAATAGGCCTTTCTTGCAGACCGATCTTCTGCCGAGATTTATCCGGAGTGTTCTTGTTTTGTAAAGTCACTGTCTTGTCCTAATGATCGAAAAATGTTGAAGTTTAATAGAGCTTAAGAGAAGGATGTTGAACGAGCGTTTGGCGCTCTTAAAAAACGTTAGCATATACTTAAATACCCTGAACTTTTTTTTGACGAGGAGAAAATGGATGAGGTGATGTTGTGACATCCCCACTTTCACGGCCAGAAAAGACTGATTTTGTTTATGCTTTGTTTGAAAATCAGAGTAACATTTTAAATAAAAGTGTTGCGGAATTTGTCCCAAAACAAAATATGATAAAGATTTATCAAAAGCATTTCCATATAAATGTATTTCATTAAAAAGACTCGGGATGTCATGTTCGATACAGATCATAAGCATAAACAATACAACATTGGCCTTACTACATTATTCCGTATTTACAGGCCTAAAATCCCTTAATCTCTCATCCCCAAGACATCACATCAATGCTCATGTGTCACACCCCACTAAAGCGGAAACGCAAGATATGACAGCGATAACGGTTTCATTGCAAAAGATAAATATACATCACCATAACAATATTCAAAAGTTTACAACCCATAGCTTAAACAAAACAAAGTACAAGTTTTTCCAAAATAACATTGTTCAAAATATAACTTCATAAATAACTTCAACACGATGCAGCATGCTCTATGATGATGAATCTTTATATCCACTTACTAATTATTTCCTGAAAAAGCATGTAAAACGAGCGTCAACTATGAAAATAGTTGGTGAGTTCACAAGTTTATAAAATCAAGATTTGGAATAAGGCTTTTCATAAATACAAGTACATTGCTTTAATAAGAAACAAAGTTGATTGCTATGATTGATAACAAGTTTATTGCTATAATGAGAAACGAGTTTGTATGTGTATGAGCAAACAATGAGTCTCAACCAAACCTATGACTGAAGCCCTATCAAGATCTATGCTTATCGTTCCATAGATGAATATGGTATCATGCACTCCAGCAATAGGGCGAGTGAGGAGTTGTCAATTCCTAATAGCGCTATCCATAATGACCATTGGCTCAAAGAGTTAATGGTTAGAGATAAGGGAAGGGCCTTAATACGATAAGTTCTCATGTTCCGTGTTGCATAGACATACATAGAGAGATATAGCAATAAAATAGCAATCATGTTTGATACAAATCAATTTAAATACAACATTCAAATAATAGTTTTTCGGGACATGCTTTTCCACCCAAAAACATAAAAACTGAAAATAGGGGAGTGCGTGAATACTCACAATGTTTCGAGTAGATACAAGTGGTGCCTTGGAATACACCAACGTCTTAATGCCGGGATCCTACGACATCAAACACACACTAGTGAGTTTCCATGTCGAAATCTAATGCTAATATACTAAACTCTACATATAGTGAAATGCCAATTTATGTTCTAATATTGGATTTTATATTAATTGGTTACACTTTTTCTGAAATGATGAAATTCTACAAGTCATGCGATAAATACAACTTTGGGATATTAATTTTCCAGATTTAGTAATATAAATTTAAGGGTGTTTCAACACATTTAAAGGTGTTTTAAATTCCTAAAAATGTAAGATATTATCAAATAGTTTCCAAAAATTGTCAAACCTTGTATTTTTCATTCTAAATACAATAGAGGTTTTCCAGAAAATTTTCCTTGAATTTTTGATATGGTTAACTATTTTCCAAATTTTTAAGCCTTCATAACAACATAAATTCACGAAAAATAGCATTCAATGGATAAAAATTCTCAAACTTTTTATTTTACTGTTATTACACATTACTAAGCTGGGAAAAATATAAAAATGGATTTCCAAGCTGTGTAATTATATTTTACGATTTTTGAGCATTTATTCCAATAAAAATTGAAATAAATAGAAAACAATTTCCAAAATTACCCAAACTTTTTATTTAACTTTTATTATACATAACTAGGCTGGGAAAAATATAAAAGATATTTTTCAGTGGGTATTTCTATTTTTCCTTGTTTTATCCCCTTAAATAACCATTAATTGAAGAATAAATAACAAACAGTTAAAATAAATTACCAAAAATTTTTGTAACATCATTTACAGTGTAAGTAATCTGAGAAAAATACCAAAAGTGGTTTTCATATTGTATAATCCGGTTTTGGGTATTTATGTGTATTTAAGTGTATTTAAGTGTATTTAACCTTAGAAAATAGGAGAAAAATAGTATACAGTAGAGGAAAATCATCAAAAAAATTTTGTATCCTCCTAATGTACAACATGATGTTCTGGTAAGTTTTCATGAATTTTGGATAATCAGAACTATTTTTCCTAGTTTTAGGCCATTATAACTACCAAAAATTGGGAAAACTAGAAAGGCATGATGAAAAATTCTGAAATTATTTTTCTGAGTCTCCCACCACAGGTAAGAGCTGTGAAAATTGTTAGATACAATTTTCACTCTCTTTAAAGTGGTTTTGTGATTTATTGCACCCAAACAAAAAGAAAATCGAAAATCATACTAAACAGCAACATAAATCGATGAAATTTAATGAGAGGTCATTATTCACCATACGGGTCATCCACGAATTTATTCCGGATTTATAGACCTCTGGAAGTATTTTATGTGATTTATGCCCTTGTTTTCTTGTAACAATTTTATTAAATCAAGGAAATGATAAAAAGTCTTGAAATTTTCCAGGTGTTCATATTACCTTAATGGGAATCTGGAAAATTTTTGATTTGAACAGAAAAGAACTTTTAGATATTTTTATAGACAAAATCATTTACATGCACTATTAACAATGTACTTTGATCACCAAGCTCTTTAGCTTGGTGTTCATCACATGCATCACGGTTTGAAGACCATGCATGGACATATGTTTGTCATAGTGATGTTTTTAAAGGAAATACTTGAATGCATAAGGTGTATGAACCTTTAAAACTTGTAAAAATCCGAACTTTAGTGTTTGACATAGGTTTTGGTCCTTGGATTTCACCATTAAACAACATGCATGTTGTTCTTGGGTGAAACCCTACCACCATCATCATCAAACTCGACATTCATGAACATGTTCATGAATGTTCATAAAGAATGGTGTAGAAGGAAGAGAAATACAAGAAAACTCTTTAAAAACAAGAAGGAAAAGTAAGGGAGGGTGAAAGATTTTCGTGTATACCTTGAAGAATAGCCTTGGAAGATGAAGATTTGAGTGTGGAGAGGTGTTCTTGACTGAAAATTTTCGTGAGTTTAGAGAGAGAGGAGGAGAGTTTGAGAGTTGAAAGGGTGGAGTGTAAGAGAGAGTGAAGAGAGAAGTGGAAGAGTGGGGATTGTGTTTTAATGATTGAAGTTTTGGGAAGAGAGAGGGCATGGGGGAGAGGATGCACGAATTTTATGAGTGAGAGAGGCTCCCTCTCTCCTAAATTCAAACTTTTATAAAACTCCCTCCTTAATTTTTATAAAACCCTAATTTTTATAAAAGTGTTTATTAAAGCAATTCTTGATTTATTTAAATATCTTGTTTTTAACTAATAAAGTATGATTAATGTATGATAATTTAACTTTCTATTTCATTGATTATAATCCATAATTTTGAT